GAATGACAGCGACACTATATATAGTAAACTGAGTCATAGGCCTCCAAAGGTATCTATATCCTAATCCCTGGAATTGGTATTATATTAGCTAACCTTTCGAGGGTGGAGATGTGACTAAAAGATCTTGAGCTGAGGAAATTATTGTACATGATTCAGGTGGACTCTATATGCAATTACATGTGCATTTATGAGAGGAAGGCAGAGAACACACACAGGAGAAACGGCTATGTGACACGACACAAAGATTAGAATAATAGTAGGATATCCCACTATATCCTGAGGACATGAAAAATTGCAGAAAAAGAGAACTATAAGTTGTTTTTTGTAATCATGTTAGTAATAATATGGATATTTGCACTAATTTCCTGTGCCTACTGTAAGAAATTACCACTAATTTGATGGTTTCAAACAACAGCATAGTTCTTGGAGGTCAGAAGCGCGAAATCAGTATCACTGGCTGAAGCCGAGGTGTTGGCAGGCCTGTGATTCTTGTGTGGACTCTAGCGGAGACTGTTTCTTGCCTCTAGTTTCTGGTGACTGTCAGCTTTCCTTAATTTGTGGCTATATTACTCTAGGATTACAAGCGTGTGCCACCACGTCCCAGCAGTAATCTTTGAAATAATGATCCTTCTTCTGTATTGTTTAATATAAAGCACTTTCTGTTTAATATAGAGCACTTTCTGTAGCTCTTAATCCAGACAACTACCATAGCCTCTCAGGGTAACCCTCTGGTTCTAGTCTCTCCAGTTTTTCATGTTGTTTGTTGCCTGTTACCTTTATAAAACACAAAGTTGATCATGTTGTTATCCTGCTTAACAACCTTCAGCATTTCCCATTGCTTCAGGAGGAGGGTTTAATTGAGGTCTACTATATAAGGTAGATAAAAATAGGTACTTTTAATTGTAGCTTCTTTCATTGATGAAATTTGGGAGGTGCTTTACTGTGTAGGAAGGTTGTTCCTCTCAATTTTCCTCTAGCGCCCACCTGGGCTGCTCTGGAGACTTTCAGCATTGTACTTGTTTGACCTTCTTTCTATTAATATTACATTGATTGATTTTTGTATGTATTTTTCTATTCTTCCTCTGAAATGCCTCTCTATTCTTCCTTTCTGTTCGAATAGCCCTATCTTTAGACCAGGTTTTATCACACTATCTTTAGGAAGCTAATTCAGTCTTACTAAAATTACTTTCCATTTATATTTTTGCTTATATTGTCTCACCTTTCCAATTTTCCCGTGCACTGACACTAGCTGACCTATCCTAAAATGCTGCTCTTTCAGCAAATTACTCTTCAGCCCAAAAACCCTCAATGACTACTGGCACAATCTAAAATAAAAATTCACTGGCTTGACATTCAAGTCTCCTTAGTGCTGACTCCAGTGTAGCTCAAGTGATAATATAAATATGTAGTATCCTCCAAAGAGGCACATATTGAGGGCATGATTCCCATTGCATCAGGGCCTCGAGAGGTGACTGGGTCACAAGGACACTAATCGATGGATGAACCATGGACTAAGGAGCTCGGAGTGGACCGGGCTAGGAGGAAGCAAGGCCCAGCTGGAGGAGCTAGGTCACTGGGGGTGCACCTGTGAAGGGTATGTCTTGTACCCAGCTCCTGCCGCCCAGCTCTCACTCTGCTTCCTGGTTGCCATGATGTAAGCAGCCTTCTTCTTTCAGTCTTCTGCCATGCCATTCTGTCTCATAAGCCCACAGCAACAGGGCCCACCTCTGAAACCATGAGCCAAAATAAATCTTTCCCCCTTTATTTTTTGCACATGTATCATACAAATAAAAAGCTAATCGGTTAATCTCTTAACAACACCTTATATGAAATCTCTACCACTCGAACTACTCTTTTATTTTATTTTATTTTTTGTCTTTTTGAGACAGGGTCTCACTATGCAGTTCAGGCTGGCTTTGAGCTCACTTTGTAGCCCAGGCTGGTCTCGAACTCACAAGGATCCTCCTGCCTCAGCCTCCCAAGTGCTGGGATTACAGGCATGTGCCACCATGCTCAGCTTCGAACTTCTCTCAATATGCTTTTATCACTGACTAAGTTGGCCCTTAAACATGAGATCATTCATGCCTCCTGATTTCCTTAGTTCATATCTCTTCATTTCAACAATGTAGTGGACAAAAACAATGCTTCTCAAATTTTAATATGCATGTGAGTCACCTGATATTGAAGGGCGGGCTCTGACTTAGTAGTTCCGGGATGGGGACTGAGATTTGGGGTAGGGGGAAGTACTGGGGATTGTATGTTAAACCATTCTTTCATTACAGGAATAAATTTCATTTGGTTTTACAATCCTCTTAATGTGCTGTTAAGTTTGATTGCTAGTATTTTGTTGAGAATTTCTGCCTCAATATTTATCAGGTATATTAGTTTGTAGCTTTGTTATCTTACATTTTCTTTGTCTGAGTTGGGTAATATTAGGGTGATACTGGCCTCAGAATGAGTTTGGGAATATGCCCTTCCTTTCATAGTTAGAGAAGGATTAGTATTACATTTTTTAAATGTTTGGTAGAATTCTCCACTGACGCCATCTATTCCTGGGCTTTTCTTTGTTAGGAAGTTTTCGATTGCTGATTCCATCCCCTTGTTAATTTTACTTGAGTTCAGATTCTCTGTCCTTTTTGTGTGTGTATCATCTAGTCAAAACCAGGTTTAGACTGTATTGTTAGGAATTTATGTATTTCTTACCATTTTCTCAATTCATTGCTAGACAACTGTAGATAAGTGGAGACTGTTCTGCTGGCCATCCAGCCAGGCAGTCAAGAGCCAGTTTCCACTGAGGAACCCCTGGTATCCTCCAGAGAGTAGCCCTGGCCGTGAGACCTCAGTTGCTCTCAGTTTCTACTGGTCTGCACAACCAGAGATCTGTGTCTGGAAAGGAATCCAGCTGCCTGTCTGGTCAGCATTCCACTGACCATTGGCTTCAGTGAGGATTCACCAAAGAGATGCTGGGGAAGTCTGTCCTCTGCTTTAAGAGTGGCAGCTGCTCTAAGAGCATGTAACTAGTTGGCAGAGGAACCACTGTTTGTCAAAGTACTATAAGTGATGGATAAAAGCCTGAGAAAAATCCATTACATAGCACTTTATGAGTTTACAGTAGAAGTTTCAGAGTCCACAATTTATTTATTTATATTTGTTTTTTGTACTGGGAATCAAACTCAGGACCTTGTGCCTGCCAGGCAAGTGCTTGTGCCACTGAGCTATATCCCCGGCCCAGAGTCCACAACTTACTATCAAAGTATTTTTCTATACACATAAATGATAACTAGATGTAGGAGGGGAGAGGGAAGGTTGGAGCTATCCTCCCTTAGGCTAAATGTGTTTTGGTCCCTTAAGTGTGGTGCTTTGGAAATAGCTACTTCTGGTTTCACCCGGAAGTCACTTCTTTCCACTGTCTCAGGTTCAGTGTCTCGGGGAAGACTTTTGCCCAGAACACTAAGCTAGGACGTGGATTTTATGTGTGTTCTCCTGCACAGGCAAAATTCCGATGTGTCATTTGACCTAGAGACTGTCCCTCATCTAAGATGACTTCCTCGTCTTTGGCGTTAGCAAATGCTCCTTTCTGCGGGCTTAACTTAGTTGTTGCGTAGGAGGAAAATGTTGGGGCAGTTCAGAGTTCTTCTCTCTCTCATCTTACATGCTTCTTAAAAAAAATATACTACTCAAAAAGCAAAAGGGAAAGTACAAAGTGGCAGGAAAAGATCAGAGAAAGGGAGTTTTTCTTCTCATGCTCACGGTGAGCTATGGAAATACCTTGCCCATGAGTTGTCATTCTCAGCCTGGAAAGGCGAGAATGGGGACTCTCAAGAGCTAACATTGCCTCCTCAGCAGCAGAAGGTCAGACCAGAAAGGAAACTGGGGCAGTTTTAAAAGACTTGACATTTCCTCTAGTGTATAGAAGAGGATCAGAGCCAGTCTGTCTCAGTGAAACCTGTCCCCCAGATCTTAAGAACAGCTGTTGGCCTGTTGCCTCTTAATTGGTAGTTAGGGTCCCATGATTAATTAATAGGCAGGTATATTTTCTAAATATAAACAAGATTTTGCCGGGGATATAGCTCAGCGGCACGGTGCCTGCCTGGCAAGTGCAAGGTCCTGAGTTTGATTCCTGGTGAAAAAAAACAAGTTTCATACAAAGACCATTTTATAATATTTAACATCAAAATCCATCAGGGGGAACTCTAAACACTACTTTTCCCTACCGATGCTGGGTAAGATAACAAACCACAACCATCAAACAAGTCAGATAAGGAACACTAGTAAGTTCAGCAATTAGTCCAAATGTAACATACAAAAGAGGAATAAAATGTCCCATTAAAGAAGCATCATAACCTTCCCATGTTTTTAACTTAAATTTATTATTATTTTAACAAATTTAGAGACAAAGGATGGGCAATTATAAGCAATGGGCAAAGACATAAGAATTTGAAGCATAAAAATTTTGATTACTTAAGCAAGTCACAATCTAGAATCTATAAAACAAAAGCAAACTCTTACCTCCATCCAGCTATCTTGGTGGAAAACCTCCAAATGATACAGGGGAAAGAAACTCCCAGCCTTCCAGATGTCTGAAACGTTGAGTTCGTGTTCTGTAAAATCAACAAATGAATTCTAGGAACAATGGACGTTAAGAGTAGGAAGAGTTTATTAAAAGGAAGAAAAGCTTCTGTCTGAGATAAAAGGGGGCCCGAAAAGTAGGTTGCCCTGAAGATTGTAAGTTTGAGCTCAGTCTGAGCAACTTAGCAAGACCCTCTCTTGAAATAAAATAATAAAGAACTGAGAATGTAGCTCAGTGTGAAGAGCGTGGATTCAATCCCCAGTGTTGAAAAAACAAACCAAAAAGCTGTGTTGTTTAATTTTCATACATTTGTAGATAGTGTACTTATTTGAAATTTTCTGTACCTTCAAGCCCAGCTACCTGAGTTTTCCAGAGCACGCTGTTGTCTGTTATAGCTCCATGCCTTTGCTTATGCAGCTTCCTCTTTCTGGAACATCCATCTTGGGCCATTCTTTCGGATACCATTCCTCCAGATGATCATGTCTCACAGAGGCTTTAGTGCCTACCACTGTTCTGGGGTTCACATCTTGTCTTGAAATGACTTGGTTGTCTGTTACTAAAAAGCCTGAACTCTTCAGGAACAGGCTTCTTGTATCTGCTTTAGAATTGCAACCCCAGCTCCTAAAATGATACTTGGAACAAAATCAGTAAATGTTTAATGGAATGATTACATGTATTTTTTATTTGCAGTGACAAATTTATCTGACTTGGTTTTCTCTTGTTTTTAGGAGGTGTTCCTGCTCATATGTATGGTATGACAAAGTTTGGGGACAATATTGAAGATGAATGGTTTATTGTTTATTTAATAAAACAGATTACAAAGGAATTTCCAGAGTTAGTAGCCAGGTAACGTAATTATTTATTCTAAAATAATTCTGTGTTTTAAAACTAAGTGACTACATTTTACCCTCTTAGTAATTTTTCTCGTGTGGATTGGTGGAAATTTTTTAAATTTGGGATTTAAAAAGTGACCATTTTTTGTATTCTCTTGTGACATCTTTTTCTTGAAAAAGAAAGTATTACTGGAGATTTTAATTTCTAAAATATTTAAATAAAATCTACATATGTGAGGCTTTATTTTTAAAATTCTAATTATGAAAGAATAAGTGAGGTAAACAAATTTCAAACAAAAGTTTGTACTACTTTGGTTTCCCGTAAATAATCACTGTTAAGTTTTCCTTTGGATCTTCAAAGAAAGTCCATTCAAATACATACTTTATAGATTTCCCTAATATGTCTCCTTCTACACATTCGTTGCTATAATATTTGCAGAAATTATATACGGAAATTTAAAGGAGCCAGATGTGGTTGCACATGCCTGCAATCCCAGCACTTTGATGGCTGAGGCAGCAGGATAGCGAAAACAAGTTCAAGCCCAAACAGGACAACTAAAAATTTTTAAAAGGCTGGCAGTGTAGCTCAGTGTGAAGCCCCTATGTTCAATCCCTAGTAACACACACACACAAGTACACACATACACACACAAAGAAATAGATATAGGAAGCACGTAAGTAACCTTGCGTTGTAATTCAGTCTTTAAAAAGATACTAATAGTTCTCTGTACTTATCTAGTTATGCCAGCAGAGGGCGTTCCATCCATTTATATTGTATTTTTTTACTAGTTTTCCTAGACCGTACCCTAAAAGCTAATCTTTTTCTACCCTACCAGCTTCTTTCTCACCAGAGCAAAAAAAAAAAAAAAAAAAAAAAAATTGAAAAATTTTTTTTTTTTTTTTTGGTTTTTCTCCGGTACCGGGAACCGAACTCACGACCTTGCACTTGCCAGGCAGGTGCTTTTGCGCTGAGCTAAGTCCCCAGCCCCCTTGAAAACTTTTTATTATTGAAATTTTAAACATACATAAAAGTAGAGAGCATGAACCCACATGTACCTATCATCCATCATCAACAGTTACCAGTTATGGTCATTATTATTTTATCTATACTCCTCCTTTATTCCTCCATTGCAAAGCATGTCTCTAAAGTTGTGCCATTTGATCCCTAAGTAATTCAGGATGTAACTCTATGAGATAAGAACTTTTTTAAATTTTACCTTATTTTGAGACAGTCTTTCTGTATTGCCAAGGCTTATTTTGAACTCGTGACCTCAAGTGACTCTCTCAGCCTCCTGAGTAGCTCAGATTATAGGCATTCACCATTGCACCTAGCTTATTTCTACTTTCTGGGTATTATTTTAAATTTATTTTTAATTGACCAATAAGAATTGTATGTATTTATCAGTTACATCCTCTTTTGAAATACATGTACATTGTAGAATGGCTGAATTGAGGTAATTAATGTATGCCTTACTTCATATACTGTACTTACCACTTTTTTGTGGTGAGAACACTTAAAATCTCTGGTAATAATTTTCCAGAAAACAATACATTGTTATTAACTGTAGTCATTATATTGTACAGGAACAATAAGGAACTTTTATTTTAAACACTTATTACTGCACTTTTAAGTAATTAGCAATACTATTTTAAATGGTAGATTTTTCAGTGAACAAAAATTAAAATGATAAGAGGGGGCAGTACCTTCTGTGTGCAGAGTCTGTATATTCATAAAACAGTAGCTCAAGCAACTAATCTGAAGACAACAATATGTAATGTAACAACCATTGATGAATTCCTACCATCTTGTTTAGTGAAGCTCTATCATTTCTAATGTTTTTTTTTAAAAATCACTTTCTATTCTGTGTAATTGTTTGGTCAATCTTGATTGTGACACCTGGTAATCCGAGCAACTTTATTGAAGATAACGTTATTTAATATAACAATTTTTAATTCTTATCATCTTGTTTTGAAATCCTGGATCATTTTTATTGTTTTTGTGTTGTTTTGTTTTTGTCTTTATTGTTGTTGTTTTGTTTTGTTTTCTCTTTAGAATAAAAACAAAACAAAACAAAAAAACAGTGGCTCATACTTACACACCAGGTCTGTGGAGCTTTTTAAATCCTAGGCACCATGGCGGGAGAAGTAGCTCAGTGCCAGAGTGCTTGCCTAGCACACATGAGGCTCTGGGTTCCATGCCCAGCACCGCAAAACTAATTGCATGCCGAGTCCTAGGCATCTAATGCCTTGTCGTTTCTTAAAAACATTAAAAAAAGACAATACTTCCTCTGTGTCCTTGCCACATTAATGTTCCTAAAGTAAAACTAATCATTTTAATAGATTACTTTAAAACCTTTAACTTTTTTCTTTTATGCCTAGGAAATTAAGTACATTCTCATTGATTCTCAAAGCTCCTCAAAAAGTAGAACTCTGCTTGTCTTTGTTCTTTACTAGTTGTCGTTCTCCAAATAGCCACCTTAAATTGGGCTACCTCTGTGATCTTTGCTTATGCTGTTCCCTCCCAAGAACACTTTCCTTTCTCCCTATAAAACAAAACAAACAAACAAACAAACACCCCAAACCTACAGCAACAGATAAAATATGCTATCTTTCGTGTAAAAAGAGAGAAAATAAGAATATATACTCCTCACTAGTCCATACATAAGCAAACTCCAGAAGGATATACAGGAGACAAGAATGGAGGAGGGTAGGAATTGCTCAGACAGGGGCAAAAATAGAAGGGAGACTTCTTTATTTTGTAACTTATTATGTATTTTAAAAATTAACTCTGTGTGCCAGGCACGGTGGCACATGCCTGTAATCCCAGTATTTGGGAGACTGAGGCAGGAGGAGTGCTCAGAGTTCAAGGTGTGCCTCAGTTATATAGTGGGTTCAAGGTCAGCCTGAACTGCTTATCAAGACTGTCTCAAAAATTTTTTTTAAAAAAGTGAATTATGTGTTACCATGCAAGTGAAGCTGCCCTCAAAATCTTTCAAGGCCCAAATAAGACTTCCTACCTGAAGGCTTTACTAATCTCAGCTATATGTGATTTTTTTCTTCTGAAAACCTGTAGGACCTTGCATATTTTCATATTTTTGTCTAATATTATTTATGTACTTATTTCCTGTCCTTATCATCTCCAGCTATGCCTTACAATCTGCATATTCCCCTTTAGGATTTGTCTTTTTCTTTCAGATGGGTCTCACTATATAGTTCAGCCTGGCCTGGACTCACTACATAGTCCAGTTTAGCCTCGAACCTGTGGTGATCCTTCTGCCTGAGCCCCCAGAGTGCTGGGATTACGGGTGTGCGCCACCACACCAGGCCTGTACATTCTAAAGTTCAGTGTTACCTTAAATTTTTTGCTTTCTTGTGTAAATTTGCAAATAGTGCATATTCAGATATCACTAAGATGTATTAGAATAAAGCTGTCTCGATAACTAGCAAATATGTTTCCTCTTTTACTAGGATTGAAGATAATGATGGTGAATTCTTGTTAATAGAAGCTGCTGACTTTCTCCCTAAATGGTTAGATCCTGATAATAGTGCTAATAGGGTAAGTATCCCAAAAGGGATGAAATCATGCTGCATTATTTTCGTATATACCTAGAGTTTGCCAGTGCCCATTATGAAAATAAAAATGTGCCATTTTGCAGGTGTTTTTCCATCACGGGGAGTTGTGCATTATTCCTGTACCAAGGAAATCTGAAACAGTATCCTGGTTACCTGCTACTCCACCAACAATCCCACAAGCATTAACTATAATCTCTGCACACCCAGAAAAAGTTTTGGTTTCAGAATCCATACGAGCTGCTGTCAGTAGGCGCATCAGAGGGTAAGAAAAGTAACACTGATACTGATAGTTGTGAAGCCTTTTGGTTTAGTGCAGTGCAGGTCTTACTGAAATACATGGATGGTCATTTTTACATGTGTCCCTCTTCATGAAATTAATTAACAAGTTAAATTTGTGGGTTTCACAGTGAAGAAGCAGAGGCTTTGTTTTGTTTGTTTTGTTTTCAAATAGTGTCTTGCTATGTTGCCCAGGTTGGCATTGAACTGGGCGGAAGCAACCTTCTGGCCTCAGCCTGCAGTGTAGCTGGGATTACAGACACCACTGTAACCAGTTTGGGTGTATCTTTTACATCTCATTCAAAAAGTATTAAGATCTAATCCCAGTATTTTGCATTTATTTATCATAGAGATTGAGGCTGTTGTTAACATCCATGGATAAAAATGTGAGGCCTTTAGAAATGAACACATAAGGCAGTGTTGTCCTTTTTTTCTTTGGTTCTAGGGCAATATGTGGGATTCTTTGACCTATGTGAAGCACTTTAGGCTGTATTCAGAAGAAAAGAAAGTCAAGGCTTAACCACTTTTTAGTTCAACCCATTTAAATTTGAGTACCTATTAAATGCTTAACATTCAGGTCTTAACAGTATTAAAAACTCTTTCAGCTCTGTTTCAGAATGCTTACTACTGATTTTTAGAAGAATAAACTCTGGTTTTATCGTTATTCCTGAATATAGTAAATTTTGTTTTTATTGAGCTACCATAATCTCTTTCCTTGCTGGGTATGGTGGTGCACACCTATAATCCCAGCACTCGGGAGGCTGAGGCAGGAGGATCCTTGCAAGTTTGAGACCAGCCTGGGCTACAAAATGAGCTCAAGGCCAGCCTGAACTGCACAGCAAGACCCTGTCTCAAAAAAAAAAAAAAAAAAAAGACAATCTCTTTCCTTTGTTTTCTATTTCTTCCCACTTTTTCCCCCTCTCTTTGGTACTGTAGTCTTAAAGTATGTATAATATTTTTTCACCTCTCATGTGACTTTCTACTCTTGATAAACCAAGACAAAATAAGATGATACAGGGGAAGCAAGTGTTATAAGAATTGTAGATATTTCCATGTGCAATAAACACAGTTCTATTTCCTGGCATAGGTACCCAGAAAAAATTCAGGCCTCGCTGCACCGAGCACACTGCTTCCTTCCAGCTGGCGTCGCAGTGGTACTAAAGCAGCGGCCCAGATTGGTGGCTGCTGCCGTCCAGGCTTTTTACCTGCGGGACCCTGTTGACCTGCGAGCCTGTCGGGTCTTCAAGACGTTCTTGCCAGAAACACAAATAATGACATCAGTAAGATACCGCTTTTGCTCATTTAGTTTGTCTCACTGGAAGGAGGGATAAATTATTACTTTTCTCTGGAAAAAATTGGACACATTCTGTTTCCTCCTGCAAGTTAATGCACATTTTTGTCCTTTCCTTTCTCCTCCCCATTGGAGCAAGTTTGCAAGAGACCTGACTCCCCAGTTTATATCTTGTGCTTCCCAGCTGTTTGCCTATATTTCCCTTATTTCTATAACTATTTCCTTAGCAGCAAAACATTTCATCTCTAGAGAATTCAGGAATATTCTTTATCCCCTCACCCTCAAACTACCATATACTACCATTAGTGATAAGAATTCCAGTAGTGATAACTGAAAGGTAGGCAGTGGATAAATTTTATGATATGTGAGTTTTAGCTCAATAAAGCTATTCCTGTAAACAAGTAGGTAGTGAATAGGTTGGATCTTCTTTTGCATTTCACCTATGAATATGTGAATAGGAAGTTCATCAGTGGACTGACAGTTTTAACTGCGAAATGATATGCAGATTTTCAACTTCAAGGGAAGACTCACGTAGTTTATCTTCCAATGTCTAGGTTACTTTCACTAAATGTCTCTACGCACAGTTGGCACAACAGAGGTTTGTGCCCGACCGGCGGAGTGGATACGGGCTGCCACCTCCCTCTCACCCCCAGTACCGAGCCCATGAACTGGGCATGAAGCTGGTAATGTTAAATGAGAAAAATCTTCCTGTTCCTTTATGTAAGAGTTCTCTTAACAGAATAATGACACAGTACAGAAAATCTAGAAATATGCTTTATTTGTATGAGAATGTAGTAAAATGTAACATTTCAAATTAGAAGGAAAAAATGGATTATCCAGTAAATGGTGATAAGGGGACTAGGAAGCCATCTGAAAAATTGAAGTTGGTTGCCTCACTCCTATAGCAAAATAATTTCTAGTTGGATCACATATGTAAATGTAAAAATTGAAATCATAAAATTTGAAAGAAAATTATAGGAAAACCTTTTATAACCTAATAAGAAAAGCCTTCTTATTTTTTTATTTTTTCTTTGTTTTTGTGAGACAGGGTCTCACTATGCAGTTCAGGCTGGCTTTGAGCTCACTTTGTAGCCTAGGCTGGTCTTGAACTTGCAATGATCCTCCTGCCTCAGCCTTCTGGGGTGCTGGGATTATAGGCGTGCGCCACCACGCCCAGCGGGAAAGGCCTTTTTAAAGCATGACTTGAAATAAGAAGCGGTAAAAGAGAATATTGATAAATTTTATTATGTAAAAATTTCTAGCTGGTGATGGTGATGCATGCCTGAACTCCCAAGCACCCTAGAGGCTGAGGCAAGAGGATTGCTTTAACCTAGGAGTTTGAGCCCAGTTTAGGCAGCATAGCAAAACTTCCTCTAAATTTGCGAAAACAAAACAAAATAAAAAGCCTCTTTAATGTCAAAAGACAAGTCAGCCTGAGAAAGTATTATATTTGCAATATAAATTTTAAAAAAGGCTGATTTCTCAATATAAAGTGTTCCTGTAATTCAGTATGAAAAAGATAATTCTAGCCAGTTAATCAAAAATGATTCATCTAGTTAACCGTATAGTCCACAGAAAAAGTATGTAGGACTTTAAATTTAAATATAAAAATGTTAGCCAGGCGTGGTGGTGCACGCCTGTAATCCCAGCACTCGGGAGGCTGAGGCAGGAGGATTGTTGCGAGTTTGAGACCAGCCTGGGCTACAAAGTGAGCTCAAGGCCAGCCTGAGCTCAGAGTGAGACCCTGTCTCATAAAGACAAAAATAAATAAATAAATAAATAAATAAATATGAAAATGTTGACCCTTGTTCACAATAAACAAATGCAATTTAAAGCTACAAAGTAGTGTTTTTCACCATTAGATTGGCAAGCTTCAAAATTTTGAGCATTGTTGATAGAAATAGAAATGGGTTCAACCTCTCAGAAGAACAGTTGGCAATATCCATCAACATTTAAATTGCACAAGATTTTTACTTCTAAAATTGTTATTTTCAAGGCATACAAAGTTATATACAAGCATGTCATGACAGCATTGTTTGTAATTGCAAAAGATTAGAAACTACTTCAGTGTTTGTTAAATTGTGGCCTGTCCATCATGTGAGATAAATTTATGTGTTTATATGCAGTGATCTTCAAGTGTGAAAAAACAAGGTGAAGAATAGTGTATACGCTGTCATGTGACAAAAGGGATAGAATAGGAAGTTGTACACGTACATAGATATGTGAGTGCATATATTACTTCTAAAGGAGACAGCATCTAGAGTAACCAGGAAGGCTTCCTGTTTGAGTTATTTTGCTCTATAAATCTGTTATATTTTTAAATTAAAGAATCTTGAAATAATTGTCTTCCTTTCCTGTGTCTGAAACTATGCTCAATATATTTATAATCTCTTTTAAAGAATAAACTTTTCATAAATAAATGTTTAAATTTCTGGTTTTGTAGTTAGTAGGCAAAAAGAATCTCTTTGGTCAGGTATGGTGGTGCACATTTGTAATCCCAGTACTCAGAGGCTGAGGCAGGAGGATCATTGTGAGTTTATGACCAGCCTATACTGGATAGTGAGACCCTGTCTTAAAAAGACCAAAAAAAAAACAAAAAACAAAAAAACCCAACTCTTTTAAGAGGACAAGAATCTTTTTTTAAAATATTATTTTATTTTATTTTTTTTGGAATCGGGAATTGAACTTGGGACCTCACGCTTGCCAGGCAGGTGATGAACCACTGAGCTATATCCCCAGCCCATAAAATATTATTTTCCTTTATGGTTTTTAGTAGGGATTAAGAAGTTTGGAAATAAATTCGTATTTTTCATAACATTTAAAAAGGACTTTAAATGTCCTCATGCCCATGTGTCTAGTCACATGGCTCACATGGACTTGGGTTCTTGAATATAGCTTTTGTTTGTTTGTTTGTTTGTTTTCCAGTACTGGGAATCGAACTCATGACCTTGCGCTTGCCAGGCAGGCACTGTGCCACTGAGCTAAATCCCCAGCCCCCTGTTGAGCATAGCTTAATTAGACGATATGGAGAAAAAAGAAATAAAATAACAATAAAAATTCTACCTATCTCATCTAGGCTCATGGATTTGAGATCTTATGCTCCAAATGTAGCCCACATTTTTTGAACACCAAGAAGTCCCTTGTGACTACTTCACCACTCTGGGCTAGCTTCCTTGAAAGTCTGAAAAAGAATGATTACTTTAAGGTAGGACTTACGCTGTATTTTTTTTTTTTTTTTTTTTTGGCACTGGGAATCGAACTCAGGACCTTGTACTTGCCAGGCAGATGCTGTGCCACTGAGCTATATCCCCAGCCCTACTTACACTGTATTGTTAAAAATGTAAAATCTGGAGAAAGCCAAGCCAATGACTTACAGTCCTATGGTCCATATATTTAAATGTGTAACATAATGATAGAAGCTCAAGTAAAGGGCACCTATTTCAGTGGTACCAAAAGTCTTTGAAGGAGTAATGAAGAGTTGTTTGTGAACTCTCCAGTATTTGAGAAATCAAATACTATTTGTATTAAATGATAAGTTATTACTTATATCAGATTTACAACTTGCAAAAGTTGGTAAAGCAAATATGAAGATATCAGATAGAAAAATTAGCAAAATTGTGCATAAAAAACTACAAAAAGACAACCAGTAGATTTCTCTTAAAATATTCAACCTCACAAGTAGTGAAAATAAGTAAATTGATATTATTTTTCATATATATAAAAAGATGTGAATGATAGTACTGATTGAGATTATGGTGAAATTAGTACTCCTATACATTGCTGGTAACACTGTAAAGTGATAGAACCTTAACTGAAAGTAACTTGGTATATGTTCCAAAACCTTCAGAACCTTCACTTGACTTCTTTTATAAGGAAAGATCCAAGAAGTAGGAAAATCCACAAGAATGTGATAATTATAGAGATTGTGTAGCGATAATGAAACTGTATTATACCATCATAAATAATGTGTGTGTGTGTGTGTGTTTTATTTGGTGCTAAGAATTGAACCCAGGGCCTCATGCATGCTGGGTAGGCACTCTACCAATGAGCTATATTCTGCTCTCCTCCATCACTTATAGTGTAGTTTTTAAAAATGTGAAATATTAAATATGAATAGCATTATAAGTATGGATGTAGAAAATAAAAATACTATTTTTAGTATTATGCTAAACTTTCAGGGGTCTGTTTGGCAAACTTTCAGTACTTTGTTTTATAAATCAGTTACTAGTTCATTAATTATACTTTAGTAAGTAATTAAATAGTAGAAATTGGTAGAAAACCTTTCAAACTGAAAAGATACTCTGAATGTTCAAAAGGATTAGGAACTAATACATCTAGCATAGTCCTCTCATTTAAAGAAAAAACTAGCGCCTAAACAGATATGAATGACAAAACAAGCTAGGATTCAGGCCTTGTGATTCCTGAACAGTACGTCATACACTGCCTTCATGAAAGTTGCTGGTAAACAAGTTATTGACAGATGAATAAGTTTATGGCACTCTGCAAATAATGTTCTAAATAGACTCTTACTATTTTCTTTTTTTAAGGGACTCATAGAAGGTTCTGCTCAATACCAGGAAAGGCTAGAAATGGCAAAGAACTACTTCCAACTCTCAGTAAACCGGCCAGAAAGGTGAGTTAGGGTTAGGATATCTATCACAAAGTAAGATAGGCTGATGATTGGGTAGTTCTCTTTAAATAATGAAGTTTTGTTGTTATAAAAGCAACATAATCATTCATTATAGTGAATACAGGAAAATTTGAGATGAGAAAATGTATATAAGAGTTGATTATTGTTATTTTGATTAATTGGCTTCCAGGGTTTTTTTTAACCACTTTTTCCTTTTTATATTTGTAGACATTTTATCTTCTATACAATTTTTGCTCATTGTTATCTAATGTTTCTCTTTGGTGTTACAAAGTCTTCATAAAGATAATCTTAAGCAGCTGCACAGGAAGTGGATATACGGTAACTTACTCAAGTGTTTTGTTATCAGAAACAAAATACAAGTAGCTTAAACATCCAACATTTAATTACTGTGGTAGGAGAGACTGCCATTCTGGCTTAATTGGGGTTGGGGGGGCTACTGGGAATCGAACTCAGGGCCTCATGCTTGCCAGGCAGGTGCTGCACCACTGAGCTACATCCCCAGCCTGGGTTAATTTTTAAACAAATTTAAACCAAACTCATATCTCCCTTTAGACCTGTTGAATTCACAATGTTTAGAGTTGTTCTTTCTGAATTAGTGTCATAGACTTTTCCCCAGTATCTTCTAACAGTACCCAGCTGTCCTAGGACCCAGTTGTAGACCTGTTTCTTATTACCTGTACTTTGCATTATTTCTTACTGACCTACTGCTCTGAAATAGGCTGGGGACATGGCTCAGTGGTAGAGCTCTTTCCTTGCATGCACAAGGCCCTAAATTCAATTCCCAGCAGCTTACTTCTGAAATTATGTCAATACCCAAACTTGTTTCCCAGCTTCTACTGACTCTTCTCTAATTCAACCATTAAGAGCCAAGAGAATCTGCTTAAGATACATTTATCATGCTATTCTCCTTTCTTCTAAAAATTACCACAAACTGTCCTAGTGAAAAATGGCAAGACCTGAAGTATCCATCAATAATGGATAAATGAATGGGTAAATGAATGAATGTTTTAAACTAACAGATAAAATTATAGATACTTATTGTGTATAATATGTTTTGAAGTATATATACATCGCAGAATGGCTAATCTAATTTTACATTACCAGGTTACTTGACAGTATATTCTGTTCTTTAAAAAAATGCAGTTTATTAGTGTTCTCATCACAAACATGTAATTATGTGATGTAATGCATATATTAGTTCTGTGTGGAATGTACACATATTTCAAAACATGTTGTGTGTTTATGATATATGTACAATTTTTGTAAAAAAATAATGTGAAAAAAATATTCTGAAATAGGCTGGGGATGTGGCTCAGTAGTAGAGCTCTTTCCTTGCATGTACAAGGCCCTAAGTTCAATCCCCAGCAGCACACACACAAAAAAGCCAAATGTCAAAAATGCAGTTATACTAACCATACTATCAAGAAGTTTATTTGTGTTATTTGGAAAAGCTCCATGTTCTCTAAGTTTTTATAAAAGATTTGCCTCATTAAAAATACATGCCAAGATTTAATTCTATCTCTACATTAAGAACACTTGCTTTGAATTTTTTGTAATAATATTGCAGTAAACATCCTTGTATTTTTAAAAAGTCTTCCTCATTCTTTAAGACCTAACTCAAATATCTCCCCCTGGAAGCCTTTTATTATCTCTTTTTTTAACTTCTCTGTCTCTAACCTGGTGAAATTACATTTTCCCATGTTTGTCCTTAGCATTTGCTATTTCTGAATGACTTTGTATTTTGGCATTTTTTATGATTACTTGTGAATTTCTTTTCTGTTTCTTGGTAATGTTTACATAATATGGAGTAGGGATAATTTCCTGTCATTGAAATGATTTTGCAAGGTATGCAGATGTTTATTAAATTAACACACATCACTTCTACAACTTGATTTGCTCCATGCTAAATAGTTCAGGCAGGGTTCTGTCATTTATATAACAAGTCACCATCATAGAGTAACTCATTGTACAAATAATCTCTGTACGTATTTCCTTAGAAATTTATAGTAGGAGGAGCACGAAATGGTATCAGGAGACTTGATTTCAAGCCTTTGTCTAACTAAATGGTCTTGTAAAAGTTACAGAACTTCTCTGAGCTCTGATGTTCTCATCTATAAAGCAGTATTATTACCTTTTCATAATAGTAAAAAAATATTTAAACTACGAGCATAACATATGACATATGCTAGATTACTTTTAATTCATATTTTCCTTCTGCATTTCTTTCTGCATGTATAAAATACATGTACGTTGAAAGGGTTGTACTAGATTAGTGGCTTCACAGTGGCTTTCCATGGAGCCTGCTGCAGAACCAAAGGGCAAGGCAAAATGGTACCTGAGTCTCCGTCCTTAAGAAACTTTAATAAAAGTTATTTTACTTTAAACAGTACCATATTTTAAAGTTCCTTATAAAATCTTGAGAAAAAGAGGTCTGCAACCTAAAAAGAAAAAGTTTGAAACAAATTGTATAGTTAATGCCTTTTAGTTTTAAAATTTTGTGTCTTGATGATTACTGTTCTGGGCTCTTATAAAGAAATATGCATGTCTTTTATTTTTGATAGTTCACTTGCTATGAGCCCTGGTGAAGAAATCTTGACCATATTACAGACAGTACCATTTGATACAGAAGAGCTTAAGAAAGAAGAAGCTGACCTTCCCCCAGAGGACGGTATGTGATGGATCGAGACAGAGCTGGAAAGAATTAAAAAATCACACTAAGTCACTTGGGGGCATTTCCTGGGAGTACCTCTCATACGACTGTAGGGATGGCAATATAGTGCTTTTTTCTTTTTCAGATGACCAGTGGTTAGAGCTTTCACCAGATCAGCTGGATCAGCTACTGCAAGAAGCTGCTGGCACAAAAGAATCACAGCCCATTTCCAAGAAGGAAGAGGAGCAGAGCTATGACTTAACTCAAGTCACAGACAGCATGAAAGCTTTCATATCCAAAGTCTCAACCCACAAGGGAGCAGAGCTGCCTCGGTAATTCCTGTTAGGAAAAATATATATCTAAATAGTTATGTCCTAAGTATTGAAGTCATCCTGTCAATAGAAAGTACCATTTCCACTTTTTTTTCCAAGTAAAAGATTTGTACTGCTTACTTCCCTCTTTTGTTGCTTGATATAATAATTTACTTATCTGAAGTCAGACTTCTTATAGTCTCATCCTTTGCAATCCTTGAAGTAGAAAGCATCCTCAATAGATTTCTCATCCACCATTCAGAACCGTGGCAGGAAACCGTGCACTTTATAACGTTCATTTATGGACTCTTACCACCTATCTCTCAATAAAATCAGACTTCTAGGCTACTCCCCAAGCAGACTGGAATCTGCAAACGCAAACGAGAATAAAGGGGCTCATCAGAGGCAGAAATAAAAATAGAAGAAATATGGCATTACACTGGCAAGTAGCGAGGAAAAATAGAAATGTTACTATAATGCAAATTTATCTTCTGTGAGTGCTGATGCTCTTGAGCTTCATGAAAAGACTAAATATAAAGTTACCTTTTCTTTTTAGGAAAAAAGGAATAAGGGAAAGTATATTCTTTTTAAGTTTTGATTCGTAAAGTAGTAAGCTTTATGTAAATGAACTTATAAATAACATCTTTACTAATACTGGATATATTTTGTAGGGGGTGTAGTGTGGGTGGGTCCCTAAATGCAGATGCTAAATATGTGTAAACAAGGTGCAGCTTTTATTTTTCTTTCATCAGACTTTCCTGTTTCTGTTTCCCTGCAAGGCCAGTAAGCACAAGGATTTTCTTTATAAGTTTAAACTACAGTTTCCCTCACTATTTCTCTTATGAGATATTTCTGATAGTTTTCCTAAGAATGGCACGCTTTAGAAAAAGTTTCAGAGTTGTATTCTTGATAAATAATTGTCTTTTCCCTTTAATCTTGCAGAGACCCTTGTGAGGCTCCAATCACTTTTGATACAGATTCCTTCCTTAATTATTTTGATAAAATTTTAGGTAAGTTACAGGGTACTGTTCACTCTCCTTTTGAAACTGTAAGGAGTATAGTTGTTGGAGCACTGGATCGTGAGGTCGTGCTGAGTCAATTTAAATATCTGCTTTCTCTTTGTGGATTTGAGTTGCTTTCAGCCATTAATTGGACCCACTGAATGATCTTAAAATGATACTTAGTGGCGGACAAAGTAGCTGCTCATTACGTTTGAGTGAGTGAATGATTTGAGTGTCTGGCCAGGGTTTTACTTTGGCTCCTTATTGTATTTTTTTTTTCTTTCACACTTACTATATTTACAAATCAATAAAAAATGACAAAAGCTGAATAAATCAACACAGGATATGCATAGGCAGTGCACTGAGGAGGAAATACTACTGGTAAATGCTTGGAAATAGTTACCTCTTTCTAGTAAGCAATAAAATACATAATAAAAACAGACTTTTTTGCCTATCCTATTGGAAAAATTTTAAAGATGGATAAAAATCAGTTTTCTTTAAGGGTTGAAAAAATAGAAACCCTGGGGGTGGAAGTATTAAGTTGTCTTTCACAGGAGATTTTGGCACTCTGGAACGCTCATAGGCTTTTACTTAGCAGTTTTATTACTCTGAAAAAGATAAATGTGCTAAGGTGGTTATGTACCGTTGTAGTAAGCAAAAACTGGAGAATCATAAATGTTCCCCAAGAAAGAAATGGTTAAGTAAATCATTATATATATACATAGTATACAATCTATTTAGCATAACAAGGAATGAAGTCTGTCCATATTCTAACAAAGCCCTCAAGAATATAAATAAGTGGGAAAGCAAACTGTGCAATGATAACATCTGTGTAAAAAAGAAACTATATTTATATATGTGTATGGATAGAACTGCATAGAGTATGGCTAGATACCACACTGCCGAAAGGTATTTCTTAGAGTGAGCTATGAGACAAAACTTCTGTGTGGCTTGAATGTTTACATCAAGATATATTAATGTAAACCGGGTGTGGTAGCACGGACCTGTAATCCCAGCACTTGGGAGGCTGAGGCAGGAGGATTGTCATGAGTTTGTGGCCAGCCTGTGCTCCATAGTGAGTTCAGAGCCAGCCTGAACTACATGGTGAAACCCTGTCTCCTACATAGTGAGAGCTTGTCTTAAAAAACAATAGCAACAAAAAAACAACAAAAAATGATATATTAATTATATACTTTTAAAATTCTCCCCCTCCCCATGTGGAGAATCAAACCCAGGTCTCTGGGTTTTAAGAAAAAAACTTTGCGGGGCTGGGGATTTAGCTCAGCGGCAAAGCGCCTGCCTGGCAAGTGCAAGGTCATGAGTTCGATTCCTGGTACCGGAAGAAAAACAAAAAAGAAAAAGAAAAAAAAGAAAAAACTTTGGGTTCACCCATGGTGGGACACACCCGTAATTTTACCACTCTTGGAGGTTGAGGCAGGCAGGTCACAAGTTTGGGCCTAGCCTGGGCAATTTAGTGACTTAATGAAACCCTGTCTCAAAAAAAAAAACAAAACCCAAGGTTGGGGATATAGTTGGTGAAAAGCCCTGAGTTTAATTCCCAGTACCACTAGCAAAAGAAAAATTATATAACTGAATTAATTCACTTTTAAATAAAAAAGTTCAGCCAGCTAGCCCAGCCTGTGTATTTTCTTGTAGATGTTTATGGGCATTACTATTTCTTTCTTTCTTTCTTTCTTTTCTTTCTTTCTTTCTTTCTTTCTTTTCTTTCTTTCTTTCTTTCTTTCTTTCTTTC